TTATCGTCTCCAAAATCACATCATAATGTAGAATTATTAGTTAATCACGAAGAGTTAGTAGATGATATAGACACTTGTGATATAGCAGTTGTTGATGAATCACAAATTCCACTCAATAGTAGTCAGTTAAAAGATAGAATCGATGAAGGATCTGAAAGTGTTTCACTTGATGTTGATCATCATCAACATAGTTCAGGTATTTATAAATAAAATACTCAGATTGATTTACTTACAAGATTTAAGCTACTTTATTTCTTAATTAAATAAATAATCCAGTATGTATTTAAAATATTTTTGATTTTTTTTGTGAAGGTTTTCAAAGAATGTCAAAAGAAACAATTGAAAAGATAGCAGAAGAATTTGTTAGACAACCACAATGTATTGATGAAGATATAAGTATTAATTTTATCAGTAAAATTAATCCAAAACCATCAGCTCTAATAGAATATTGTAAGCATTAACAAAATAGAAACTGCATTATTATTATTGCAGATTTAGAAACATGTGTTACAGAGTAATTAAAAATAATTAATTTAGAAAGGACAATTTAAAATTGAATTAAATGTTAAAATATTAATTGATTATTTATTTATGGTTATAATAATTAATATTCTTCTATGACTGAATGCCAAATGTTTTTATCCATTTTACAGTATTGTAGGTTATTTTATATCTCCGTAGTTTTCTTTTATGGCTTCTTTGAAGGCTATGGGTAAAGCAGTTATTTAATATGTTGGATATGGACACTGGAAGTTCTCTAATTTTCTATTTATAGATTTTCTCTCCAAAACCGTGTAGTCTTTTACTTGATTTTAGTAATTTGGTAGTACTGTCCTGAGATGCCCAAAGTTTTTATAAGGTTGCAAGTAAATGAGTTCTGTCATTCTGTTTTCATTTAGCCAGATTTATAATATTTGTATTGAGTTTAGTTTTAGTTAAATGTGTTCATTTTAAAATCATATTAATACTGACTATTACAATAAAGGTGAATGTAAAGAATAATCGATGTTGTAATATTGTAAAATTTATTGGTGTACTTTATCAACAAGCAGGTTTCTATTCACCATTTATGTAAATATATTCAAAGAATTGTATTTTGGATGCATTATGAAATATAAATATCACATTGCTTGTAATAGTTTTCAATAAGATGTCTGATACATAATTTTCATAATCAATTTAAAGTTTTATAATATGAATGTAAATCTATATTTATTTCTAGCAGTATATCGTATAGAATAAAAATAAAAAATGTTTTGTAAATAATATTTATTAATATTGTTACTATATCCAATACAGTATTATTATCAACTTAATATTACAAAAAATATAGTTAAATATATATTTAATATAATACTATAGTCTATAAACTAATCCAAGTTAATGATAAATTATATTTCTTATAATTTTAATTGGATTTGTACTATGGATTTTCATGATTTTATTTAGGGTGTGAAGATTGTAATAAGCTTTATCAAAATGAATTAAACTGTCCAATACATAAAGTTAATAGTATTATCGATCTAGCTGTACAAACTAGAGCTAGGGCATCATTGCCTGCTACACATTTAAGAATTATGAAAATTAAAACTCAAAATAATTTAAATAATAGTAAGTGTTATATTTTACACTATAATAGGTTCCAATTTTGTTTTGCTCCTAAATCTATCATATAATTATAATTATTGTTTGTTAAAGAGTTTGGAGTATTTGCAAGGAAAACAATTCAAAAACGTACCCAGTTTGGTCCATTAGAAGGTGTTCATATCAAGGATGAAGATTATGTTGAAGAGACTATCAATGATGAATTTAAATATTTATTGGAAGTAGATAAACAGTTTAGGCGAATCGATGTTTCAAATGAAGGTAAGAGTTTTTAATGGATAAATTAATTGCTCTGTTGTCATTAGGTGTATAGATTGTAGCTTTTTACTTTTGAGTTAGGGTTTATTTTATATATGCTATTTAAACTTAAACTAAAAATTGTTGATTGGAGTAAAATCGCTATCTATTATAGTGATAATATGTATGTAACATTTGAAAGTTTTAAAAGAAGTTATTAGGGTGTCTAGTAAAGAGTAGACTAAACTTAATAGAACTAAATATGTATTGATGAAAACTATTTTATTGTTTTTTTTTAATTTTAATTTTATTTGCATAATATATTCCTTTTAAAATTGTTTACATTTAAAACTGAAGCATTTAATAAATATTTAAAAATAATACTAATATAATTATATATTTGAAAATATATATTATTTTAATAACATTGAAAAGTTGAAGACATAATATTATAGTATTATAGTTTTAATTATTGTATTATAATATAAACGTTTTTGAGTGGGCATAGAAAATAGCAATATGAATATTGTATTTAATGAACTTTGTTTCACATTCTATCACACTTGACACATATTAGTAAAATCTTATTCAGATAATTTAGTTTATGCATCTATTTATTATACATTGCTTAATTTAGAGTGGATAGCAGGTTCCGTATTTACATAAAATATTAAAATACTGGGTTTTTCATTGCAAAATTATTTATTTGTTGTTGTTGTATTATGATCATTAAGTAACTACTTTAAGAAAGAAAAAAAACGTTAATAATAGGTCTCCTATTGAAGAATATTGGTCTAGTGTACATCTGTGGTCTCGACAGTCAACATTAAATTTGGTTCTGTATATGTATCAAAATGTGAAATAATGTTCTATAGAAGTATCTTATGCTTGAATTAATGTGATTGACATCTAATTATAGAATATAATAATGATCAATAATTGTGTTATTTGTTTTAACATTAAAAATATACATATTATGTTAATTGATATTTTTACAAAAATGTCATTAAAATTACTGCATTGATTTATTATTTAATCTGATTTAAGTGTATAAATATGTCCATTAAGCTTTAACAGTATTAATATTTATTATAAGAAAGTCTAGTTTAAAGTGTCCTAAACTGTATAGTGAATAGTAATGTTCTTATAAATTTATTATTATTTGAATTTGTAATATAGTAAACTTTTATATGAATTTCTGTACATTATACATAGATGTAAAAAGGGACATTTTTTGGGAGGGGAGGGAGGGCTAGAATTGTGTCAAGAGTATAGATCAGGGGTCGGCAATCCACGGCCCGCAAAGCAATTTTTGATGGCCCGCACAAAGGTGGTTAATTTTTGTGTTTTACTTTTGTTCAATAACATTTTTCATATAATTTTCAATGTTATATAATTCTTTTTCCTTTATAAATAAAATTTAATCTAACCGTTTCATAATAGCAATACAATTATAAGTATTATATCATAATATGTAATTTTTTTTTTTTAATGTGACCCATGATGAACAATTGAAAAAAAAAATGGCCCGTGTGGTTAAAAAGGTTGCCGACCCCTGGTATAGATACATAGGAGCTTTTTTCAACGTACCCTCATTATTATTGTATATTAACATTACTCAGTATACACAGTAATACATTTATTAAATTGATGAATTCATTAATTAAAATTAAAATTGTAAATAATACCTAATTAAATAGAAAAAAAAAAATTTAACAAAATAAATAATTTACTTAATAATTGATAATATATTTTACAAACAAGCACAAAATAATTATTTTTGCATGATATAACATTAAGTTATAGTAAATGTATAGTAATAAAAAAAAATATATATATAACTCTCTGACAACTGAACAATATATAGTTAAATAAACTATAAACTTTTAAATATTATTTATTTATATTAATGAAATATACCTGTTCTTTTTTGAGAAATTATCAACAATAACTCAGTATAGTTAAACTAACAAGTTTTTTTTTAATGCTAAAAATAGGTGAATAACTAAACCTTCCTTGTTTCATATTATTTCTTAACTAATTTTTAATGTTTTTCATTAATAAAAAAGAGTTTTCGCATGTGGCTAAACTTTGGTTTATTGGTATTATTATAGCAATTTGTAACATCTTGTATAAATTCGAATATATGAATATGTTTTTTAACAACTTTCTTTAAATCATTAAAATTGTTATTAATATTTTTCAACCCTGTGTATCATATAATATAATACAATAACACTAAAATATGATTAAGAAATTGGGAGGTTATGGATAGGTTAGGTTTGCACATATGACGTCATATATTTGAAATAAATTACTATTTAAAAGCCTGTTTCTATATTAAAAAACGTATTTTGATATGGTAAATAATAACCGGCAGCACCGGATCTAGGGGGGGAGGGTGGGCAATCCGGGGCATGTGCCCCGGATACTAGTCATAAAAGGGCGCAAATTTCTAACTATGTAATGAGAAAAAAAAAAAAGGTTATTGATATAGAAGGGCGCCAATTTCATATTTTGCCCCAGGTTAAAAAAAATGTTAGATCCAGCACTGATAATCGGCTATAATTGATTTAAAACAATTCAGTGCTAAAATATCCGATTAAAATAAAATAGTACCTAATCAATTAGATAATATTTAAAATTGTAAAAGTAATATATTGTCTTTGATGAACATTTTAGCAAAATACTTGTATTTTTTTATTTTGTTTAACCAGATATTTTCGAACTGTATATTTTTAGTGCAGGATATTTTGACATCAAGTATTATTTATTAGAACAATGACGATTAACTTTTAAGTAATATTGACATTTGTCACTTATCATCCAGCTCTTAGCTGTTCTTAAATGTTTATTAGCCATTAGGTACATATACACATATTTGAATTATAATTGTAATACATATATTAACTATATAACAAATAATAAAAATACACTCATAAAACAAGAACTCGAGCTATATTTTATGAATTGATAATAATTTTGTTTTTTCATCAATTTAACTACAATATAGTAGGTATATTATGTTTATGGTTAATAATTTAAAATAATTAATTTAATATAATTGTATATTATAAGACTAGTTTTTTAAGATAATTGTAATTTTTACAAATTAATAAAAATCAAATAATTAAATAAATAAATATTTAACAATAAATAATAATAATAATATTGTCGATAAGTTTCTAAAATAAAGAACAATATCATCATTGACTTGACGATGATTTATAGTAATATATACAAAATTTTGGCGTTAAAATAAATTAAGGAAAACGTGTAAGGATCATAGGCGTATCATTGATATATAGGTATGCTTTACAAGTCTTAGATTTAATGATTGATGACAAGTAAGCTGATTATTAAGAATATCAAGGGGGGTTAGTATTTGTAATTTCGACCTCGTTCTCATCTTTGAACGCTTTATGGGATGACTGTTGATGTATTATTACTAATATATATGTATATATATATATATATTATATATACAACAAAAATGGTATAGAAGTTATAAAATAAATGGCTTCTATGAAGTCAATTTGATGGCTATAAAACTGACTAGTGATAGATCGTGGTAATGGTGTGTTATCGTTTGTAGTAAGACACCCCTTTTAACTTCTGGTCATGGACAGTAGATTCCAAGACAGATGGCGAATAAACATAAGGAGAGGAGTACTCAGAGGGTGAATCGACGATTAAATCGTGATTGTGAATTGATGGTGTGTTTTTGATGTAGTATTTGTCCTTGGTATACTTGACGAGCGGATGCGCATTGTAGTGGGCTGCCTTGTAGTGGGGAAGGTGGTGGTGTGGATCGGATTTGAATAGAGCGTAGACTAACAGCATTTTTCCTATGACTGTGGAGAGTATCGATAATGCAATTAGAATTGAAATTTTAGTCATTATAACGCCCAACACTCCTGCCAGTAATGTGCCGGCCGTAGCCAAATAGCTCTGGATTCCTCTGCTCTCTGTAATCGTAAATAATATATTATTATACTTGTTTAATACTATCTAAGTTGTCTAGCTATAGTGGGATTGGCTATTGATAGTTTGTGGTGATGGGGTGTTTTTAATATTAATAAGTAAGCAGTACACAAGGATACTTTGATGGTACATACTTTTGTATTATTTTTAAGTTTAAACTCAAAATTTGAATGCGTTTTTATTGTGAATTATTATTTTTCACTTAAAAAGCCTACTAGGTACTCTTGATAATACTCTTAGTTTTAAGATTGATACGAGGTAAATTAATTTTAATATTTAAGCTATTAACAGGGGAATTGATTTTGCTTTACGTAAATTTATTATATTGTATCGTAGGTTTGTAAAACGTGTGTTTGTGTGGCGAATTCTTTTACGTATTATTTAAGATCAATTTAAAGCAGTGGTTCCCAACTTTTTCTATTCTACGTTCTTTTTTGTAGATTTTCAAAAACCTCGCGCTTCCTCGTATAAATTGAAAAAAATCGATTACCTTTTTTCGTGTACTTTACAGATAAACTATACAATATTCAGAATAACTATTTTTTGTTGATGATAATTAGTCGGTTATCCGTCATTGATACCCGATAACGGATAAAAGGAACGGGTCAATTAATTTTTTTCTCTACGTTTTAAAATAAAAATTGTAATTTCTATTAATTGCTTGCCCCCCCCCCCCCAGTTTGGGAACCAGTAATTTAAAGCAATAATATTGTGTTTTTAAGATTAATAAATTATCTTAGTTTATTTATATACGGGGTTCATTTTTTGATAACATATAATATGTAGTAATGTAGTAGATTATTTAAAAGTTATCGAATTTGAAAATATGAAACATGGCAACTATTTTTTTAAGACAGTAATAAATTAAAATATTCGTAATGATGAAAATAATAAATACATTTTATTAAAAATTGTATCATTAAAACCTTATTATAGTCAAAGTGTAATTTGTTATAAGTAATTATAGTATTTAATCAAATATTATGTTTGTTATGCATAATTATTTCCTTTTTAATTGCATAGGTACTTTAAGAAACTAAGCGATATAGTCATTGAAGTATATTTTTGTTTAAATATATAAATTAATGTAATAATTACTATAATTAAAGCTGAGAAGTGGAATAACATTTATATATTTCCTATTATGTACACAAATTTTCAAAAACATTTATGCCATATCTATATTAATAATGTATACAAATACATACTGTTGTATTGTATGATGCTCTAAATTAAATTACTTAAACTTCTGTTATAAATACACATAGTCAATATGTATACCACCAAATATAACATTATTTTTGTATTTTTTGAAATTTTTTATAAATTAAATCATTTGATTAAGATATTAATAATTTTTATATCACAAATAGTCTTTACAAAAAAATAAAATTGCTTTAATTGTGTGACTCATTAAATTATATTCAAAGTTTCACGTACCGTTGTAGGTACCGTTAGATCAGGTTTATATTGGGCTATTTATTTTTATATATTTTACGATTCTCTTCAGTTGGAAAATCATTATATCTATATTATTAGTAGCGAGGTTGTAAAAAGCCCAAATTTTGTATTACACAATGTAGTATAGTCATTTTAGGAAATTAAAAATCATTTTGGATTGATGAGGGTGCTAGTGCTTTTGGGTGATTATGCATTGATACGAGTAGTCTAATTAATGGGAATCTAATAGTGTAGTAATTTTTTTCAAGAAAATTTGTAGTCACTATTTTTTTAAATAATTTACTTATTATTATTATTAATCTCAGTATAAATCTAATAAATAATAAAGCTATTATCTGCCATTACTTGTTTACATAATGAATTTTGTTGAAAATGGATATTTTTTATTTTTAACCTTGTTTTTTTAAAATATTAGATATACAAAGAGGTATACAGCATAACTGTGATTATATCTACATAAATGTATACATATTAATAAGAAAATATAGTGTAGGATCTATTTCTTTAGCATATCTTAATATGTAGATTTTCATTAAAAAAAAAAAAAAAAAATGTACGTAATTAATGGGTCATATACGGATGTATTTACTTAAAAATAAAATTATTATTATGTATTGAAACTTGTAGAAATTATGATATTATATATTTTTTATTGAATATATTATAGGTGTTTTAATCTGAAATTACTGTATATAACGAACATACGATGTTTTAAATAAATAAAAAGCTTTATAATTTTCGAAACCTGTTATTATAATATTGGTATTTTACAGATAAACAAGTATAGTCTAGCCAAAAGATAAATTACCGTTTTTACGGATTAAATACACACGTTTAATTTAGCCAAAAAATAATTTACTATAGTAACTGTCGAATATAGGTTTTTACATTTAAATACCAAACATTAATGATACAAATATCCATGTATAAAGTATTAAAATAGGTTGGTTTCAATTGACCAGGATAAGTGTTCATTTGGAATTGTTTTATATTATCTTTGTATATAAATGAGACTGTCCTGAGTAACTGGTTTATAATCAATGCAGAGCCGAACCTATTAGAGCTATCGATTTGAAATTTTGAGAGAAAAGATTTTTTTAAATTTTGGTTTTAAGGGGTTGAAATTAGCAAAAAACAAAATTTTACATGTAAATTATGTAAATTAACGAATAAGCGCTTATAAGCTGTGAGTCTCTAGCTTACATTTTTAGATTCTTTTTCTTATGAACAATTTTATATGGAGGTTTTAGGCTGGAGTCAATACGTCCAAAAATTTAGTAATTTTGGCACCAAATGGAAATACATCAAATGTAGCTTATAAAGAAGTTTTATAAAAAAGCTGTTATCCTAAATTATTATTTTTTATTATATACTTATTAAAATTTCGTGGGTAAAGCTGCCATGGATAACCTGCTAATTTATTATAATATATTATTTTATAAAAATTGTCTAGCTTATTGTATACATTTATATCTAAAGCTTATTAGAAATTGACATAAACATAATTACAAATTGTCTAAAACGTTTATGTTTTGAACAGATTTTTTTGTTTCTCATCAATTAAGTGTATCTCGTGTTATTATATTTTTATGTTTGATTAAAAATTGACTTAAAATTTATTATTATAACTTATAACTAAGGATAAAAAATTTAAAGTTTAAAAATGTCCTCTTTTTGTACTTTTTATAGACATTTTAAATTATTAAATAAAAAAGTTTGGAGATAAAATTTGAGGTTTATCATAAGTTATTTTAATGGAAGTTAAAAAATATCAAAAATAAATAGATTGTCACATTTGTTGTATAAACGTTGAATTTAAAATTGAAATTCGTTAAAATTATAAAAATTTAGAAATTATTTTGTACTTGAAATAAAAATTTCTAGTTTTTTAAGTTGAAAAAATACATAAATGTTATTATATGAGCTTACTGTGATAATATGTTTTGTGAACGGCGTTTTGGGATATCAAGAGTAATGACTAATGGGTTACAGTAGTTTGAGAGCATTATAATCAAATCAATTTGATTTTGGATAATCTAAGAAAGCTTAGTTTTTGTTGTCTAGCATGTAATATAAAATAATACAATATGGATAGTTCAGACTTACGTAATTGGTTTTTGGCGCAAAATTCTGACGAGTACGAGCATACTGTGGGTGTCACGTAGTCGTTGATGAGCCTGACGGCAACGGCATTCATGTCAATCCCTGCTTCAGCCGGGACGACGTTATGCTGCTGAATGTTCGTTTCCGATACTTCCGCTGACTGTTTTAGGCTATCCTGTTCCGCCGTCGCTGTAGCTAAACTCGAAATCGCGAGACACATCGCTATGATCGTTATCGCTATATGCATAATCATTGTTGCTATTTATTATCACCAACGCACCTTTATTTTTTGTAATATATTTATATTTTTTATCAATAAGCTATGTATTATGTGTTCTAACGACGTATATTTTGTCGACTTAAACAAAATAATAATCACCGCACGCGATCGCGTTCACGTGCAGAATGATTGTTTGCTTGTCGTACCCTACGAATGCCATTTGGATTTTACTAGTGGATTTTTAATTTCGAAAACAGGATTAACTGGTTTTACGTACGCAGGACGTGTAGCGTTTCCGTCTACTCTACGAGTATCATTTGGAAAAAAAGTTTATCTAGGTCACACAACTCCCGGCCCTCCGCCATCCTGCACCACCACCCACCGTATACGTACAATCCACAAAAATCTAGATGCGGGCAGGTTGCACGTTTTGTCTTAGTTAGGCCTCTTGTTATTTTTTACTTACATTAGAAACGCTTTTGAAAAAACGAGATTTTCACTGAGTGACCTTGTAGGGAGGGGGATAGAAGATCTAACTTGACTCATTTCTCCTTGACGATATTCATCGGTGGTTGATATATTATTCCCATATTATGCTCCAATACGCGTTTGATTTCAAAATTTCAGTTTCTGTATTACAACTCTTTCCTTCTAAATATTCTATTATTGACTGGACAATTCATAACGATTTTTATTTGTGCGTTTATTTTGAATTAATTTTTAATCATGAAGTCATAAATTAGCGTTGTGTTCGTACCAAAATGCATTCTTAATGGTTTGTATTTTTTTATTAGATGAATTATATTCATTTGAATTTCACTGATTTTTTACACGGTAGTTCACCAATCATGATACCTCCATCTTTTTCTTTAGTAATGAATTTGTTCAAGTTATGTTTGAACAAAGACTATATTTTCTAACTCTTACAATTTTTTTTTTTACTACTTAAGTATTGTTTTATGACGATGCAGAATTCTGTTTTTTTTTTTTTTTTTAATGAGAATCCACTTTTTACTGAAAATTATTTAGTGGATATATTTTTTTAAATGTTGATGTACCTAATTCAAAATTTAAACGAGTAGTTTTTACTAAATAAAATGTTCATATTAAGCATACAAATGCTTTAAAAGTTTTACAAATGTATAAAATGCATGTAATAATTATAAATCATAAATGTTATTAAGTTAATATTAATTATTAATATTTTTAAATCAGCATAATGTCTATATCTTCCAAAATCTATTATGTCATAGACATTATCCTTAGTGAAACAATTTAAATAATTCAAAAATTATTCTTTTGAATATTTATTTTGATACATCAAAATGTTCATAGTAATGATTATGTGCTAAGTAGTTTTATATATAAAAAGAGGATTCTTATTTGAAAAATAGAAGTTTGTATTTTCACAAAACACTTTTTAAATTCTACAAAAAAATCTTGAGAAAAAATTCCAATTTTATCAGTGCCCTGTACATATTATATAAATGTTAAAAATATTTTTATATTTACAATTTCTGAGTTAGTATGTATTTTAGAGACAACAAATGTATGTCTAAAAATGAAGTTAATGAAAGTCACAACTGACTTAGCATTTAATGAATGTAAAAAAGGTTTTTGATTTTAATCGTTTAAACATTCCATTATTCTTAAAATAGTTACCACTTGTATTTTCTTTAACATTTTAATATAGTTTATTGGTATACGTTTTATAGATTGAAAAAGAAATTATTATATAAAGGATTTTGTAGATATATATTTGATATTTTAATGTCTAATTTAGATTTTCCTTTTCAACGAAATTGATTTAACTCTCTTTTTTGCTTTGTTTATTTTTAAGGGTTTTAATTTACCTTATGTTTTGAAGTATTAATTAAAATAAATACTTAAATATTATTTCATGTACGTATGTAGTGTCTTAGCATTTAATTTTTAATTTAAAAATGTTTTGTATCAAATTATTTGTTAGAACAATTGTATCTAGTACGTATATAATATCATAGTTTTAATTAGTGGGATTTATCAAACGTCACACGGTCCATTTACATGTACTTAGTAATATTAACCTCCATATTAAGGTGTTGTGAGCAAACAGCTAATTTATATTATTACTTTAGGTAACTGCTAAACATTGTTATTTTATAAACTTAATATGTACCTAATACTATACAGTAATTATTGTTTATTGGACTTAATAAGTAGGTTCTAATTTACATTTATACTAACTTAGAAAAAAATTGTCAGTTGTAGGTACTCGCTAAACTGGTTAACGAGGTTAATTGTTTATATTTAAGGGCATAATTTCATATTTTTTTTATTAATTTTCCGATTTTATATCAAATATTGTGAAAAAATAATTTTTTGACTCATCATAAGGTATTTGTTTTGAAAAAAAAAATGTTTTTTTTCCATTGATATGGTTATTTATTTTATGTTTTTTTCTTTGTGAGTGATATCATAGATTTGAAATATATACTTACAAATCATAATAATAAATATTTATTAGTACATAATAAAATTAAATTTTTTATTACAATGTCTATGTATATCTTTTTATTCTTGGACCGTTCGCATTATTGATTCATTTGACAAATTGAATCAAATATTCTGTTTTCAAAGTGAATTCATTAATAGGCAATTTCTGTATTCAATAAATGTATCTTATACATTTTATTTTTTGTTTCAAAAATAATATTTCATTTAAAATATACTTATTAGGATAATAAATTAATTTAAAAAAATTATTTTATTATAATATAGTTATTTGTTTTTGTAATTGCATTGTGAATAACGGTTTTTGTGTCACGAGTTTAACATCTTTAGTTTTATATAATTTTTTTTATTAAATTTACTCTAGTGCTAAATTATTCTATTTATGAGTATATTTTTATTGCCATGCAATATTGTATAATAGTTGTATAGTTAAAAATAATTTAAGATAATTATAAACAATAGAAATTATCCATACACAATAATATAATGTTTAAGTTCAAATATTGTTTTAAAAGTTAAACGTTCTTATTACATTTCTAGTTTTAACTCATTAAATGCTCTTTAATTTTACTTTTACAATATGACAAAATAAAAACTTTTTTTTTTTTTTATCACCTTTCATTTTTATTATCTAGATACTACTTATATTGTTCAAAATATGAAAATAATATAATGTTTATTTTTTTAAATATCTATTTTTTTTTACCTACTCGATTAATGAAAACGTATCATAAAAAAGTGTTGTTAGTTAGAATTGTTGTTGTTTACAAATTTAAAAATAAATTGTAACGGAACTTTTTATTTTTAAATTAAGTATACTTCTTGTATGACAGTTAAAAAAAATTAATTTATTTATGTTTAGCTATTAAACAATTGTAATTTATATTGGAGTCTAATACTACATTTTGTGCATTTCATATCATATTTTCTTTTATATACGTTTGGCTCATATGTCTTATGATTGTAACATTTGATACTCTTATTTTATGTATCATAATATAATAGTGATAGTTCATAGATAGAGTTTCAATAAGGAAAATAAAATAGAAAGTAAGTTTTCTTTTCGTAATGTAATTCAATAGTTGAATAGTCTATTAAATCAATAGTGATGATGAATTTTTACCACTAAAGTATATAAAATAGGGTTTTGTATGAACAAATATTTTTAGTTACCATTAATTATATCCTTAAATCAAGGATTATTTTTTAGATGATTTTCTGGATTTCTCATTAGTTCACGTAAAAAAATAATACATACAAGCATAAACAAATAGGCATTTTTTAATAAAACTTCGATATTGTTTTTTGACTGACTGCTATGAGAACTCTTTAGAGTTGTTTTTAAATGCTATAATTTTGGCGTTCAAATTAAAAATAATAATATACTTACCGTATAAGTATCCCGGAGATTGGTCGGTGATTGCCCACTTGTTATAATTTAAAATAATTATATATATTATTATTTTTGTCATAAGAGCTAGCATGGTGTATGTGGTAAAACCATTTATATTTGAATATATAATTTGATAGGTTGGTTATTTTATATAACTATATTATAAAAATTAGTATTTATTTTCCATGAAAACATTACCAAAAAGATTTAAAAAATTACCTAAAAATCTACTTTTTGTATATCAATTCTTATAGATATTCAAATATCTCTAAAAAAAAAGTGAATTTGAAATCGGATACCTAATAGAATGATAAAATGTGTGTGACATAATTTAAATTTTACTTTAGATTAAACTTCTAATTACCCAACGCTAATTATAATTTTCTATTTCTTTTTAAAGAACATGCTGACATTTTAATAATTTTTAAAATGTAAACTTATTAAGTAACTTGAATTTTGCTACAATTTTATTATAGTACCAATTAATATAGCACCGAAAGTACTTAAACATAGCGTTATGATTAATGTTAAATTTCGTTGATTTAATAAGATATTATATATATATTATATTACCTATATTATTATTATTATTATTATTATTATCGTATTAAACATGTGAATATATAGTTTATAAAAATAATTTTTAACAATGATTTATTTTAATAATACTAAACGTTGAATAGATACTTAAATATATTTTTAGTACAATTTATGTACTTATGTATTTGGTCAAAATTAAATTTGATAACTCATGAGTAAATTTTTATAATTGATAAATGGATTGCTTTTCTATAAATTTAACACTGTAATTTAAATTATGATTTTTAATGATTAAATATGAGTAGAGAACTCACATAAAATTAATAATCAATAATACAATAACGACTATGTAATGCATACATAATTATTACTAATTAGTAATTAGTTAATATTTTTATATAGGTACTAAGATACATAATATAACTAAAAATATTTTATAATAATTATTGTCATTTAGGTGCTTATACTATCTTCTGTTATCTCTTAACTCGTAATTTTATTATTATACATATAGGAATCTGCGTATGTTGTATTCTATTAAATGTTGTATCAACGTAGATCAATCAAATGTGTTTTAAAGTTAAATTAATACAGCTGAAATATTAATAATTGCCTTTTAATAAAAGTTGACTTGTGTGATGTGAATATTTTTGAACGATTAGCAATTTTATTTTGTTTATTTTATAATTATATTCGAAAAAATTGACTTTTCTAAACACAAATTTATCTAGATAAGTTAGATATTTACCTAAACTTTTGTATGAATCAAATGTTT